CATCAAAGCCTTAATACTCCCATTGAACAACTTAAAATTTCTGATGCAATTACACTCTGTGCTAAAGCTTGGAAAAATGTGACACCCGAGACTATTAGAAACTGTTGGCTGAAGTCAGGAATAATACCTAATTTAGATGATGCCATGGAAATAGAAACCATTCAAGAATATGATGAGCTTCAAAATCTAATTAATCGATTAGGGAGTGTTGAAGCCTCTGATAAATTGAGCGCAGAGAATTTTATTAGAATTGAAGAAGAAATTCAAGAGTTTGGTGTTGAAAATACTGATGAAGAAATTATTAGTTATGTAAAACCAACTGCTGAATCTGAACCAGAAGATGAATTAGTAGCTGTTGAACAAAAAATTACTACAGAAGATGCATTAAAATCTTTAGACACCATCCTTTCTTATATTCAAAATCCACCTGAAAACCTTACTTTTGAATTAAAACACATTAAATCGATAAAATCAGTTAAAAGTCATATATCCAAATATTCTCTTGCTTCTAAAAAACAAAGCAAATTGGATCGTTGGTTTACTACTAAAAATTAATGAATTTTATTATTTTTTTTTTGTGTATCAATATTAATATATGTATTTGTATATAATATCAAAAAAATAAAAATTTGCCGATCTTTTTATATAATGAATCACACTATATAGTGAAGTTTTTTGCCAAAACAAACTCTTCCTTATATCGAGCGCCAACTGTATATGAGCAACTGAAGTTCCTGCAACATTTTCAATAGCTGAGGTAATATCTTTTCCTTCTTGAATTTCTCCACCAATTTGAACATGCCGTTTAATTGAAAGTGATATCTAATTAATCATTATTAGCATCTTTTTTAAAAATTATTTTTATATTGCTTTAAATTTCAAACCTGAGCATGATGAGAGTCCACAGATGTTTTGGCTTCACCTGCTTCCAAGAATATCCATTTTTTTACTTGAATTCCATACCATTCATTCCATTTACTCATAATAATCATAAGCTCTGAATTATGATAATGGGGGCCATTATCAGAAATAATACTAACCCATTTTGGTTTTATTTCTAAATTCTCCACTACAGAATGTAATGAAGATGCTGTAAACCAGGCATCTTGACGAGCATCTGTAGACCAATGATCTATAGCTTGGATATTTATATCAGTATCCTCCATTGATTTAGTATACAACAAAACTGTATGTAATGTCCAGCCTTTCTTCCCAAAAAACTCCTGCAATATTTTCATTTTATAATCCACCACTATTATTGCACCATTTTCATCTAGATCCAAAAGAGCAGCATTAAATTGTGCATTCAAGTAGACTTTTCTGGTCTGATGTGAAATGTAGTAGAGCAAACGATTTTGATATTCATGAATTTCTTCATGAGAGGTATTTAGGTTTGCTTTTAGATCTTTAAAAAATGCAAATAATTCTTGACATTTCTCACAGGCATAAGTATGTGAAGCATTACATTCACCAAATGCATATGGTAGACAATGGTTTATGCATATGTCATGAGAAGCCATTCCACGATCAGTTACCACTAAATGTTGCTCATATTCCTTTTTCAAGAATCTTTGTAATAATTGACAGCGCTGGGAAAAGGTATTCTAAATTAATTTATTATTTAATGAATTATTAGTATTAATCACAATCATGTAATTTATTCATGGTTTATTAAATTATACCTGCAATCCCACATTATTTATTTTTTCTTTAATTAGATTCATAATATCTTCAAATGTTTCATACCCATATGTGCTACATGTAGAACACAACCCTCCAAGATCTTCTCTATAAACATACTGATTACCCATGAGTTTAGTGTAAAAAGTTGATCTTTTGATGCCATTCGGATAAGTATGGTTGAATTTTTCATAATGCACTTTTTGTATTTTTTAGGTATAGTACTGGTTGGTTTGTTTTAGTGTCAGTTTTATACGAACTCATTATGACATGTGCTTTATCTTGAAAAAAGGTATCAAATTGTTTTCCTTGTTCATCTGTAATTTTTTTTCTTTTTATAATGGGCTTTTCTATTGCTGCACAACCAGGGCCATTAATTTGTGCATATTTTTTAGCTTCAAGAATTGTGACACCTATAATGAATTATAAAAGAATAATTATATCAAGGTAATTTAAATGGTACTGATTTTTTATATTTTAATTCTTACTTTCAATTTATCCATTATAACTCTATAGGGAAATTTTTCTGCTATAATGGAAAGGATTCTTTTTTTTCCATTATAACCTTTTCCATTTGCTTTTATAGATTGATTGAAACAATTCCATAAAATTTCACCATCATTGCAATGTTCTTTAGGAAATGGATTCAAAAACCCTGAATCAAATAGAAATTGTAAATTTTCACAATCATATGTTGGATTGGTGGATCTTGTCCAAAATTCATACTATCAATAAAAAATCAAAGTTAAGTAATATTTTAAACCAATTAATTACTAGTAGAATTTATTTTAAACCATAAAATGGCTTACTGCTGATATATCATTACTGTATGGTGTTATATTTGTACATCCAGAATGAGATAACATAGCTCTCCATGCTCGCATTTCTCTTTCTTTAAATTCATGGTTTGGTGGATAGATTTTTTTTAAAGCAGTGGTGATTTCAATGATTGTTTTTTTGTCATTGTACCATTCAATAAAAAATTCATTCCATGGTACTGAAGCTAATGTACATTTTCGTAAGTGATAATTCCATAAATGTTCCATTTTGCTAGCAATATTCCATTCTTCAGGCAAGCATTTAGGTACTACACATATTGTTTGAATGAATGATTGAACTTGAGATTGATTGATGCCAAATAAGTCAATACCTTTGTGGTTTTTTAAATATCCAACCTTTTCCCACACATCATTTGGGTTACTACCAACATGTGTAGACATCAATTTATGATCTTGATAAATTTTTACAATGGAGTTTTTATAATTTATCTCTTGTACAAATAATGTCTTCTTTTTCTCAAACCCTATTACACAAACAAAAGAAGACTTAAATCCTGGACCTACATTACACATTCCATCATCTGAGGACACACCAATTCCATAAATAAATATTGTGAATTTATTGTACATGCAATTAAATGGACAAAATATTACATCTGTTAACAATTGATTATTAATTTCTGGTTTATCATGTCCTATGATAAGAGGTCCTGAGAATTTTGTTTCAGAAGAAGGAAACAACTGCTTATAAAGTGTAGTTACAGCAGCTGAAACATTATCAAAAATATCACTTGTTAAATTATTTGCTTCGCATATATAGCCAGGTTTATGTAAACAATCTTTATGGCCTTCAATAATTGTGATAAAAAAATGTGTTTTATTAAGTATAACTAATGTTTTCATATTTATTCTAATAGGATATAAAATAGAATCATTATCAGTTTGTCTGGTCTCCCACCAATATTGAGAAAAATCACCAAATGTAACAATCCTCGAAATAATATGCACAGATGGCATTTAATTTTATTATCATATTTGGTAAGAGGAATTCATATTTTTTTTTTATCATTTAATTTAAGTTACTTGGCAATCGGGATTTTTGGTGAAGAATTATACATATTATTATTATTATTATCATTATTATT